AGAGAGAGAGAGAGAGAGAGAGAGAGAGAGAGAGAGAGAGAGAGAGACACTCACTGGTGAGTAGATCTCAAGCCTTCGTTCAAGGACAAACGAACAACCTTTGACCAAGAACACCAAGACACACGAACATTTCCGAATTGTTAAATGAGTTTTCTGTTACTTTCTCTCTTTTTTTGTTCTATTAGTATTTGTGTGGGGGTTGTCATTTTTTTATTCATTTTTTCAAAATAATCAGACAGAAACAGGGCATAAACACTGTGTGCACGGAAGAATTGTTCTGTTGCTGGGATATTAAGGTAGTCACAATCTCTGGCAGAGTGATTTTTTAAAATAATTTATTAACGTTTGGGGCGATCTGGAACATCATTCTGGTCATCCAGCGGAAATGGGAAACAAATTTATCGGTGTTGAAAATCCGTAACACGGCCCAGAATGGCAGCGTGTCTGTGGGTGTGTTTGTAGTTTGCTCTTAATTTTTTTTTTTTTTTTTTTTTTTTTAAAGCTTTTTAAGCGCTGGTACTACGGTCTCATGTGGAGACTCCATGTCCAAATCATTTGTGTCATGACGCGGTGGAATCAACCGGCCATCAATTTTTGGAATATAGAGTTATTGGTATCATCTTAAAACGTGTTCATTTTTCTTGTTTAGAAGAAAAAAAATACCCACTGTCTTGAATAGAAGTCGAGTTATTTATGATTGAAGGAGGTAGGGGTTGCCTAGTGTCATTGGTAAAATTAGCGAGAAATGCGCCGCCAAAGTTCGGTGACTTAAACAGCTTGGGTGTCTTTGGAAACTGCAACTGTACATTTTTGTGCCTTTTATCAACGTTTTTAATTAAAAGTCAAACAGAAATGTGGTTTTAAATGGACTTAAATGGTGTTGAGCAAAAAAGGGGATAAAAATTGCCCAACGAGCGGGAAAATGTCCGTTTTTTCGACTTCATTATTTAGACTACCGCCTGGTTTCACCACGATGCCACACATTAAGAGGAAAGTCGCCGCGATAGCTGTTGCTTCTTAGTGAAGTGGACAGATGAGCAACGAAATATGTCGCAAGACGGGGTGAAAACAGGCGCTCGTCAATTTTAGGGCATGTGGAGTTATTGGTATTATCTTAAAGGTTGTTCAATTGTTTTTCTATGGGTGAAAAAAATCCCAATCTATCTTTAAAAGAAGTTAAGATATTTGAGATTGAAGAAGGTGGGGTCGTCTAGTTTCAAAAGTAGAATAAGCGAGAAAATGACAGTCACAGTTTGGTTATTTCCATAGCTTGATAGTCCATGAACACTGAAAACTTACTTTTTTGTCCCTTTAACCAACGTTTTTCAGTAAAAATCCACGTACTAATGTGTTCTTAACTGGATAATTATGGTGTTAAGCCAAAAAACAAAAATTCGACAAAAATTGCCAAACTGATAGAAAATTGCCAATTTCTTCAATTTCATTATTTTGACAAACGCCTGATTTCACCACGCTGCCTCACATATGTATTGGCGTTTACGCAATAATTGATATATGCTTAGAAAGAGCACAGGGTGGGGCGAGCCGTTAACTCATTTGATATCGTGCTGGACTACAGAGCAGATGGCCCTGTTTTGAATCCCCAACGCTAACGGGACTTTCTGAACTTGGATTGTTTATCGGAACTTTTTACAGATCTCCACCCATCTGGCTCGGTCTTATCGGAGACGGGCGTTAAATTCAGAGGCCCCGCCTCTTGCCAACTTTGTCATGTTGAATGTGGCGTTAGAAATAATAATACTACTACAGAGGGGGTGGGGGGATCAACAGTCTGCCGTTATATACAATTTGGAAATAACACATATATCTTTCTGTTTATAACAACAATGAATTCAAAGAACTTCTTTTGCGTGACCGTTTCAAAAGTATAACAGTTAGCTATGAATTTGGCAAAGACGCGGAAGTTCCTAGTCATTGATGGTCTCAGCCCGCCAAGCAGGTATGTCATCAGCTTTTTTTTCTAGTGTTTTAAGGCGCTCACAACTGCATAAGGTCATATGAGCGTGCGGGACACATGAAACTTTTTCAGTTAGTAGGAAATTTTGAATTTTGCCCGGATGGCGGCCGAAGACTACTCTTTTCAATTTTAGACCACCAAGGGATCTTTAACGTGACAACTTGCACACGGGCCCTCCGAGATTTTACACCCTTGTCCGAGAAGGTTAGGTGTAGATCTCTCCTACCAGAAGATCAGGGGTGTGGCTGAAACACAGCAGTACGAAGGAGCCAAGGAGTATTATTATGTCTTTAGCGTTGTCCTCAAGCTCTTTTGAAGACATATTACAGAACTTCAGGTCTTCTTTGACACAGCCTTGGCATCTCTTTTGAAGCCGATCAATATTTCTTGTCTTCTGTGGGTACGCTGGATGCCCGAGAGAAAATATGTGAGGCAACGTTGTGAAATCAGGCGCTCGTCAAAATAATTAAATCAAAGAAATCGGCATTTTTTCGGCCGATGGGTAATTTTTTCTAATTTTCTTCTTTTGGCTCAACACCTTTTATGTCCATTTAAAAGCACATTTTTGTGTGGATTTTACTATTTTTTTAAAAAGGATTAATTTTCAGTTTCCAAGACTATAGAAATTACTAAACGTTAGCGGCTATTTTCTCGCTAATTTTACCTCTGAAACCAGACGACCCTGACCTCCTTCAAACGAAAATATTTCGATTTCTATTCCAGATAGACTGATATTTTTTCACCAAAAAGAAAGCAAATAAAGATGCTTTAAGATGACACTAATAAACCCATATATGCTTTAAAATGACGAGCCCCTGATTCCACAATGTCGTGACACATATTATGCGTGACTTCTGTTAGAGAACGTATTGCACTGCATGCAGCATCCCTACCCTATCGGCCGAGGAAGCCTGAGTCCTGTGGCAGGATGGTTCCCTACAGCTGCGGACTTGTGTGGGTGCTCCGGGTGGCTGTGTCTTCTTTCACCATTGTCGAGTTGAACTGAAAAGGGTACACTCGAGCGGAAGGGTGTGGCTGTTCTGTAAGACCCC